GATCTTAAAAATTCTCATTAGAAGAAAAAATGTTTGTAACTATGTATGGTGATGGATGTTACCTAGACTTATTGTGATCATTTCACAATATATATAAATATTGAATGATTAGGTTGTACACCTGAAACACACATAATGTTATATGTCAATTATACCTCAGTTAAAAAAAGAGCATTAGAGTTGAAACCCTACTGCTTCTCAATAGAGGAACAGGTAAGTAAACAATGAAACACAATGCAGCCACTAAAATCATTGACCTAGGTCTCTGTGTCATGCCACAGAAGGGCAAAAACATTGACTAGTGAAGAAGCAAGTTAATACCACTGATGTATACTTTTAAAATGCAAAATATATATATATATATTGTCTATGATATATGTGTCAGCAATAAAAGTACAAAGCAAGCATGGAGATGGTTGTGATTATTTCCGGAGAGGAGGGGAAGGGAAGAAATGAGAGAGTGGGCTTTAAGTATATCATTAGCATTTTATTCCTTTTATAAAAAAACAGATCTGAAGCAAATTTGGCAAAATGTTAACATCTGTTTAACTTGGCGGTGGATTTCTGCATCTCCATGACATTATTTTCTGTATGTCTGAAATGTTTCACAATTATACATTTTAAAGGAAAAAATCTTAGATCTCTTTGAAATCCTAATTAACATAAGAATTGAGATAAGGATACAAATTCATTTAACTCCAGATGGCTAATCAATTGTTCCCAAACCCACGAAAACCACACTCTTATCAAACACTGTGGACGCTGCTCCTACAAGGAGGCATCGGGCAGAGGGAAATGCGCCATGCCCGCCCTGGAGCAGGATTTCCTCAGTCACACAGACAATGAACTTGAGTGGTCCGTCAGGATATAAAAATGAGAAGCAGCTAGACAAGTATGCCCTCAACTTTCTGTCACTAACACCTCCAGACTCCCCAGCGAATACACCCCCCTTTCATTCTAGTTATCCCCCAAAAGCCCTGCTCCTCGGGGTAACCGCCCTCCCCAGGTTCTGTCTCCCAGCCCTGCCCACATTCTCTTCTCGTTCTTTCCCCCCGCCCTCAACCTCTCCTTCTTTCCCCTAGGCCCACCCAGCAGCATTTAAACACCCTCCCACTTTAAAACACAAAACACCACCAAGGTACCATCCTCCCAACCCCACAGCCCCTGTCTCCAGTGCTGGCCTTTTCCCTCCCCTTCATCTCCAGACTTCTGCCATGATTTCTGCCTCTCCACCACGTTCCTCACCACCTCCTGAAACTGCTCTAGCAAAGATCGCCAATGGCCTCTGTCATTAAGTCCGACCAAAGGACTGGCCAGGGGTGACGGGCAGTACAGGACTTTAACAAATGTTCCTCTGGTTCCCCTGCCTACCGTCTGAATTTTTATTTCCATGCTTTGCTTTGCTTTGATTAAAATAATAATTCCCATGATCACCCACAAGTAGTTTTTAATTCTCCTCTTCCCTGAAGGTTCAGATGCAGCCAATACCAGGGACCGGTCCCTCTTGAGACATATCCTTCCTGGGTTCCACGTCACCCTAGTCTCCTTTCTGGCCCCTTCTTTCTGGCAAAGCCCCCTTCTGTCCATGCTTTCAGTGATGGCTTCCTCAAAGTTCTGTCCCACTTTTCTCATTAAATAATGTTTCTTTGGGGGGATTTCATTCATACCGTGGCTTCAGTTATCACTCCCAGCACTCTGGGTTCAATTCAGACCTCTCGGAAGCTCCAGACCCACACATCCAACAGTCTCCTCAGATATCTCTACTTGGATGTCTGCAGCCACTAAAATCATCAAATTTAAAACCCCAAATCATCATTTCCTTCACCAAACCCACTCCTCTTCCCACTATACCTTTCTCAGTAACAGGAACCACCATCTATCTGGTTGCTCAAGCCAAAAACCTGGGAAGCTTACTCTATTGATTTTGCCACCTAAATCTCTCCAGAAATTCACATTGCTTCATCCCTGGACCACCTTGTTTCTCCCCTGGATTACTGCAACCACATTCTAATTGGTCTCCCAATCGTTTGCTATACTTGAGCCAGAGTGAGGCTTCAAGACCAAAATTGAATATGTCATCATTCTGCTTAGATATTTCATTGGTTCCCCCTAGTTTCTCAGATTGTCCACACTCCTCAACATAGCGACAGAGCTTCATGACCTGTGACTCGTCCCCTAACAACTGCCCAGCCTCGCCTCCCACTCCCTTCCCACAATTCTGTCCAGTCACTGTGAATAGCCACCAATTCCTGGGGTTGGCCATTGTCTCTGCGTCCAGGCCTGTTATACTTACTGTACCTTCCACCCGGGGTGCCCTCCTCCTGCCTCTCCCACTCCTCTATAGCTGCCCGGCTAACTCCTCCTCCTTCAATGGTCAGTTCAAAGGTCACTTTCCCCACAGGGCTCCTTTACCTAGACCTGGTTAGTTCATTTATCGTGTGCTCCCCTGTAACTTGTACTTTACCCATCAGAGTATTTGTCCTGCTTCTTGGGGCCATTTATTTAACAGCTCTCTCCTGAGAGCAGGACTGGGTCTCCCACTCACCATTTTACCCCCGGTTTCTATTATAGTGCTCGGCACAGGGCATTTGTCAATAGATACGAGGAAAATGCAGTCTTTGCCCTCAGTTCTTGGCCTACTGACGGTACAAACAAGTAAAGAAATGATTCAAATATGACGAAGTAAGTGCTCTAATATATGTGTGTGGGTGCTTGTGAGTTGCTATGGCCTGAATGGTTGTGTCGCCCTAAAATCCATATGTTGAAATCCTAATGTGCAAGGTGATGGTATTAGGAGGTGGGGCCCCTGGGAGGCGTTTAGGTGATGAGGATAGAGCCCTCATGAATGGGATTAGTGCTCTTATAAAAGAGACCCCACAGAGCCCCCTTGCCCCTTCCATCATGTGAGGATACAACAAGAAGTCTGTGACCTGGAAGAGGGCCCTCACTCAACCATGCTGGTACCCTGAGCTCCAACTTCCAGCTTCCAGAACTGTAAGAAAAAAATTCCTGTCATTTATCAGCTGCCCAGTCTGTGGTTTTCTGCTGTAGCATCCCAAATGGACTAAGAGACAGATATATGTGGACAGGGATGTAAGCATAGGAAATGCTGAAGGAGCGCAACTAACTTTCTGGGTTAGCCGAGAAAGTTCACATAAAATAAGTGACATTCGAACTGGCTTCTCATTCATTCCATTCATTCAATGAATAATTTCTGGGCAGCTACTTGGTGCCAGACACTGTTCCAGGCACTGAAGATACAGCAGAAAATAAGACAGACACTGTCCCTGCCTTCCTGGAGCTTTTATAGTAGGTGAGGCAGAGGGAGATAAACTCTAAAAATAAGATAATTTCAGGAAATGATACATGCTTTCAAGAACACAACACACGGTAGGTATTTAGCAGGATCGGGGCAGAAAGGTGCGTGCACGTGTGTGTGTGCCTGTGGTGGGCCTCCCCATGGACGTGTCACGGGGATGTATAACCAGAGTGAGGGGACAGAGCCAGACATTCAAAGATCTGTGGGAAGTCAGCTTTAGGTGGAAGGAACAATGAGAGGCACTGGTTCAAAGGACATAAAGGCCAATGGGGTGGAAACACAGTGAGTACTGATAACTCCAGACCAGACCTCGTCCCTTAACTCCAGAATCACAGAGCCAGCTCCCACTGGGAGGTCTCATAGGCACCCAGGCCTTCATATGTCCACCACCAACATAGTTTCCTCCTCCAAACCCATTCCTTCCCACTTCAGTAAATGACAATTCCATTCTCCCAGTTGCTCAAGTCAAAAACCTTGGAGTCATACTTGACTCCACCCCACCTCCAATCCATCAACAAATCTTATTGGCTCTACCTTCAAAATATATCCAGAATCTAAGTGCTTCCCACCACCTCCTCTGCTACCACCCTAGTCTGAGTTGAAGTATTTGGATCTTATCCTTTATGCAAGGCAGAATCAAAGGTTTTCTAGGACTGGGCAGAGAAGTGACAAGTGCTTAGAGTGGTGTGTTAGAGCCAGCTCACCAGTTCACAAGAACCAACTGGGAAAGTTTCAGGAATGTTGCAAGACAGTTGAAATCATGGTGATGGCATGAATTTGGCCATGGTCGGGTATTTATAGAATGGATATTGGCAAATCGTACAAACCAGGGCTCCCCTCTCCACCCTCTGACCCTACCCTGGTGATCTGGGTGTTCAACATTTATCAGTACACAACTGCATGTGCAAATCTGTATTACAGGAAGATAACTCTTGTGTCATGTGGTTCCCTGCAGGTGTGTATGTTTGTGAATATAAGTCAGAATCAGCGGAGGAACTTTTCCCACCATGCGTCTGCCTGCTTGAACTCAGTTAAGGACCACTTGATCAGGAACATTGTTAAGAGGCTGCTGGCAGTGATGCAGGGGAGAAACGAAGGTACCAAGCATAGGAAAGAAGAGGAAAACCATGAAAGAAATCTAGAAGTAGAATGTTTGGGCTGTTATTTACTCTAACAGAACTAGATTCCTTTCCTTGACATCACCCCTCAGTCTGTAACCGCAGACTCATCTCTGTGATTCTTTTGTTAATGTCTGTCTTCCTCTCTAGACCGTGCATTCCATGAGGGCAGCGGCTGCATGTCTGCCCACCACTGTATCCCCACAGTGGAGCCCACTACCTACACCAGCACCACCTCACTGAAGAGTCATTAAACGAAGAAAGGAGGACAAAGTGAAGAGTCAATAATGACACACAGGTTTCTAGCTTAGCTGATAGAAAGGAGAAACACAGAGAAAAGAGTACACGTGGTTGAGGGTTTGGAGGGGAGGATTTGGGAAATGTTGACTGGAAGTGCTTCTGAATATCCAGGCAGTGATGTCCAGCTGGCAGCTAGAAATATGTCTTAAATTTAGGGGTTGGGTCTGAGAGAGACGCGCTTGACTATAAGATGCAAGCTCCCACTTCCCTTAGAATCTGAATTGTCACTGAGGGAGTGTCAACGTCCCTCTCTCAAGACTCACCCGAACCTCGGCCTCCCGGGGCCTCCCATTGAGGTCGCACTTGGACCCGTTGCCATAGGTCTGGCTGTGGTAGCGTTTCAGGCGATGCTGCTTGGAGGCCTGGGGAGGACATCAAGCAGGAGGGAGGGGGCGTGAGGAAGACAGCAAGGAGGGAGAATGCACTTTATCCAAATGGCCATGAAGCCCCCCAAAACATGTCAGCTAATCCTGACCCTCCCATTCTTGTCAGGGCTCTTGGCCTGCAGCCAGCACCCCTTTCTCTCCCAATCCCCCACTCCGGCCACCTTAGCTGTTTCATCATCCCAGTCGAAGGCCGAATGGTAGTAGCCAAGATAGAGGACTTCACCTTTGATCTCTGAATCTGCAAGAGAAACCACAGCGAAGGACGGTTACTCCCTTCGAAGAGGACCAGGAGGGAAGGGGACTGGGGAGGCAGGTCACCTTCCACAACATATTGCTGAGGGCTTAGGGAAAATGTGGGCACAAGTCACCTTCCATGTGGTACTGCTGGATGTGGCGTCCATAGCAGAATTCATACGTCCACCAGTCCTTGGTCTGACAACAGAAAAGGGACAGTGAGGGATGGAGTGCAGGTGTCTCTCCTGGAACCAGAACCTCTCCTGGCTCCAGGACATGAACCTCTCATCTACTTCTCACCTCCCACTGCTTCCACATTCAATTCTCCAGATTCTCAGTGAGGAGCGAGGACTGTTTTCCTTCTGTGACTCAGAGAGATACCTCCACAGTCTAACTCTGTTCCACCTGTGGTCTTTCCATTCCTCCCTTTTGAAAGTTTTTTTTTTAAATCCTTCTTTGCCCTCCATAAAGATAAGAAATCATGGTGTCCTTGAAGCACTCAAACCAGGGAAACATAGAATATGCAAATATTAATTGAACTTCTACAACGTTCCTTGTGCTGTTCTAGTCACTGGGGATACGACTGTGAACAAGATAAATTCTCTGAGCTCGTGGACTCAGTGCTGGGACTCAGATCAAAAATAAATAAATTCGGGGCTGGCCCCATGGCCGAGTGGTTAAGTTTGCGCGCTCTGTTGCAGGCGGCCCAGTGTTTCGTTGGTTCGAATCCTGGGTGCGGACATGGCACTGCTCATCAAACCACGCTGAGGCAGCATCCCACACGCCACAACTAGAAGGACGCACAACGAAGAATATACAACCATGTACCAGGGGGGCCTTTGGGGAGAAAAAGGAAAAAAATAAAATCTTTAAAATAAATAAATAAATTCATGATTCAGTTAATAAGATGATTTTAGATCATGAAAAGTGCCATCACAGGGGCCAGGCCCATGGCCAAGTGGTTAAGTTCGTGCACTCCGCTTTGGCAGCCCAGGGTTTTGCCAGTTTGGATCCTGGGCATGGACATGGCACGGCTCATCAGGCCATGCTGAGGCGGTGTCCCATATAGCACAACCAGAGGCACTCACAACTAGAATATACAACTATGTACTGGGGGGCTTTGGGGAAAAGAAGGAAAAAAAAAAGATTGGCAACAGATGTTTACAGCTCAGGTGCCAATCTTAAAAAAAAAAGAAAAGAAAAGTGCCATCATGAAAATAAAATAGGACGCTGAGCAGAGAGTGATAGGGGCAGGCGGTGACTTTACCAGGAAGGCTTCTCTAGGGGAGTGCCCCTTCTATCCCACACTGACCCTCTTTAGGCATCTCAAACTTGGCTTAACCCTCATTCTGAGATCCTTTATCCTAACCCTCCTCTGCATTCAGGAAAGTGTCATCAGTGGTTGCAGGATTCTTTGCTTCTTTCCTGTCTGTACAATGTCTACTCCTCCAATGGCCTTCTTAACTCCTGCAGGTCCTCCGGATCCCTCCTCATTCGCAGGCACCTTGGTTCTCAGAAAGAGAGCTAGCTCCCAAGCCCTCATTCCATCCATCCCGGTCCCTTTCACCTTCAGCAGGCAGGGAGCATCTTTCATGGGACTCAGCAACTCCGGGATCCCAGGCCCTTGGTAAGCAGGTGTCTCCTCCTCCCTTTCCCGCTGGAAATGAATCGCTCCAGCTGGCAGGCGACATTCATAGCGCTGTTTGTACTTAGAGGAGACAATCACCACGTCCGAAGCTTGGCTCTGGGAAAGAAGGGAGGGTCGGGGGGCAGGGAGGCAAAGAGAGGCTGGGATCAGGGAGAACAACGAGATCCCTCTTCAGATCCTGGGGAAGAGCCCGGTCAAGACAGAATGAGCCACAGGTCCTCCAGCTGTGTTTGGCGGGTGAAGGGACAGGGCACTCCCACTTCTCCACGGGGGCGGAGTCTGGGTGCTCCGATCAGGAACTGGGACCTGAAGCCGACAGAGGTAAGCCCCACCCCTCCCAGTCCCTGGCCCCAAGGGAATGGGTCTCAGTCTGCGATCCTCAGGAGTAGTCGTAAAACCCCCACCTACACTTCCCGATTCTCCTAGGGCTCCCGCCACAGCCTCCACTGCTGCCTTTCGTCCTCTGCCTTTTCCCCTTCCCCTTCTGTCCCAGACCCTCGGCCCCTCTACCCTCCTCACCTGCCCTCCCATGACAGGCAACGGCAGAATCTCGATCCCATAACGCATCTCGCTCAGCTCCTCCAGGTTCAGGCTCCCCACACCGCCCGTCAGACTCGCGGGTAACAGGAGCCCCAGGAGCAGCAGCCCCAACACACTGGACAGCAGCGCTTCCGCCGCCATCTTTCGTTCCCCTTCTTATCCAGAACCACTCCTTCCGCCCTATACCTGGCAGAGGCCTCACCCCGCCCATCAACGCCTCAAGGTCTCATTGGCTAGAAGTCCTGTCCCTCTCACGTACCCTAGTCCCATTTGTGAACGTGGCTCCAGAGCCCACGGAGAGGTGGAGCACGACGATTAGCAAAATCACTCCCTGCACGTGATTGGTCAGAGAGGAACCAATCACCAACGAGATCAGACGCCCTCCCACCCGCTCCAGGTCCCAGCGAGGCTCGGTCTACGTGCCCGGCCCTTTTCAGTGGTTTTGCTCTGTCTTCGTCCAGCTGTCATGCGCATCTCCTGTCACTTTTTTAGTCGTTTCTTGCATTGTATCCGGCCCCGGCCAAGCAGAGGATTGAGGCTGATAGGGGGTGCATGCAGTACCCCTGAAAGTTACTTAAAACCTGTTGCAAAGCAAACTATTATTATGTAAAAGCATTACCTCTTTTCACATATACAACTTTACGGCAATCTGACAATTTGTGTCAAAACCCTTCTACAGGATCCTGCAGTTGTCCTCCAACAAAATTATTCTGGAGAAATGATGAGGGCTTCTTGTTAAAGACTGGGGGGTGGGGAGCGGACGCACGTAAAGAGAACAAAGAGAAAGGGAAAGGAGACAACCGTAGCAACGTTTGAGAAGTTAGAAAGCAAGTGGAGGACAGGTGACTCATTTAGCAAGCCTGAAAAGTTGATTCCTAAACAAGGATAAACAAGAGCATGATTACACCTTTGGAAAAATTTCTCTGGGGAATCTGATCAGCCCAAAAGAGGAATCCCAAAGATACTCTCATGAGGGTTTTCTTAATGAAACAGATGAAAGAATCCTACACTTAAGCCCTTGGCCTACATGCCCCAACCCTCACAGGGTTTTTCCCATCAGCTTTTTAATGTCCTCACTCTTAAACATAAGCAGACAGCCAAGGATCATTAGACATTTAAGGAAAGTCTTTAGTACACAAGAAAGAAACTAAACAAGCAAGAAGAAAAAAAAACACAATTTAGAAGAAACAGAAATTGCAAGAAAGAAAAAAAATAAAACAACAAAAAATCTATCATTAATAACCTCAGAGAGATAATAAATTATATCCATAAAATAGCAACAGGAAGCTATTTAAAAACTAACTACTATTCAGATAAGCAAAAAGAGCTCTTGGAAATCAAAACCATGATAGCAGGAATAAAAACTCAATAGAAAGACTGAAGCGGGGCTGGCCCCATGGTGGAGTGATTAAGTTCTCGTGCTCCGCTTCAGCGGCCCAAGGTTTCCCTGGTTCAGATCCTGGGCACACACACAGCACAGCTCATCAGGCCATGCTGAGGCAGCATCCCACATGCCATAACCAGAAGGACCCACACCTAAAATATACAACTATATACTGTGGCGGGGGGCGGGGGGGGTGCGGCAGGGGTGTTTGGGGAGAAAAAGCAGAAAAGGAAAAGATTGGCAACAGTTGTTAGCTCAGGTGCCAATCTTTAAAAAAAAAAAAAAAAGACTGAAGGATAAAGTTGATCAAATTTGCTCTACTTTAGGAGAAAATTAGTGAAAATTAGTAAAAATTAGAGAATCAGTCCAGAAGGTCAAACATCTGGATAATGAGAGTTCCAGAAAGAGAATAGAGAATCAGAAAGGAAGAAATAATCAAAGAAATTATTTAAGAGCCAGCCCTGATGGCCCAGTGGTTAAAAGTTCAGCACTCTCACTGCTTTGGTGGCCCAGGTTCAGTTCCTGGTCACAGAACCACACCACCCATCTGCCGGTTGCCATGCTGTGGCGGCAGCTCACAGAGAAGAACTAGAAGGACCTACAAGTAGGATATACAACCATGCACTGGGGCTTTGGGGAGGAAAAAAAAGAGAGGGAAATTGGCAACAGATGTTAGCTCAAGGGGAATCTTTCCCAGCCAAAAAGAAAAATTAAAAAAGAAGTTATTTAAAAGTATTCCCCTGAAATGTAGAACTGAGTCTCTGAATTGAAAGGGCACACTAAGTATCCAGCAGAACAAATCAGGCCCACACCAAGACACGTCTTTATAGAATATCGGAACACTGGACACAGAGAAACGATTCCAAAAGCTTCCAGAGAGAAAGAACAAGTCGCATACAAAGATAAAAATCAGAACAGCATTAGGTTAATCAATTCATCAACACTGTAAGGTAGAAGACAATAAAGAAATGCCTTCAAACTTCAAGAGGAAATTATTTCCAACCTAGAATTCTACACTCAGCCAAACTGACTCAATTATAAGTCCAGTATAAAGACAATTTCAGATAGGTAAGGTCTCAAAATATTGATACTCCATGCATTGTTTTTCAAAAAGATAGGAAAGGATTTATTACACTGAGACAAATCAGTAAGTCAAAAAAGAGAAAGAGGTAGAATCCAAGAAACAAGGGACCCAGCACAAAAGAGAAACAAAAGCAATTCCCAGGGCAATGGTGAAGGGAGATTCCGAGTGGTTGGGCAGGACTAGAGATCAATTCATCAAGATTAGAGCAGTTCAGAGGATTCGGGGGTGATTTCTTCAAGAAGTAAGACTGACAGAATACCTGATACATTTGAACTTATTGAGAAGAGATTTGTATAACCAGAGGAGAGCTTAGGGATATATTAATGATAAGTACATAGAAAGTTAAGGGGGAAAAAGAGATTAATTCTAATGAAAATCACACTTCGTGGGAGAAGAGAAACAGACTTCTCTTTTCTTCAATATGGTTAATTATTCCCACACTAAAAACAACTAAAAATGCTGGGTAAAATGTAAATATCTTCTTTCTTAAAAGCCAACAAGACAGTCAAGAATTAACAGGACAAAATCTAAATGAAGTCAGAAACCTAGAAAGGTATTCAAAACACTGCAGTCACATTTCCTTGGAGGGGATTTGCCAAACTAGCAGAATTTTACTTTGTTGTTGTCTTTTTTTTTTTTTTTTCCCAGAGGCAGGGACAGAAGGCCCACTTGAGGTGGAGAGTCTGAGAGAAGATCTTCCCTGTACTGAACCTGCCCCCAGCTCCCCAGCTCCAGGGACCTGCAAGGAAGGGTGTCGCCGTGCCAGACAGAGCAGGGGAATTTGGGATCACAAGTAGGCCCTTAAAGAAATGTGCAATCCAACTTCACAACATTTGGGTAGTTTAAATTCAAGCTGTAAATTTAGATTTAAGTGGTTCTGAGAAGGAGAGTATAATGCCCCAGGCACTTGGCAGAAACAAATGCAAATGCACTCTGGAAAAATGTCCCTTCCTCCTAGGCACCAAAGAGCTCCTACAAGTCATTTTCCAAGTAACGTTAGAAGCTCCTAATGAAAAATAACTAAATAAAAGGAGATAAGACACCATGAATACAAACCAGAAGAAACAACACAGAAACTGAGCCCAAAAGACTTCAAATATTGTAATTATCTGACATAGGTTACAAAGTAATTGTGCTTACCATATTTAAAGAAATAACAAGGAAACTTGAAAATATATTAGAAAATAGGACTCAATAAAAATGATCTAATGTATTCAAAATAGAGGTTCTAGAAATGAAAAGTATAAAGTTTTAAATTAAAAACTGAAGGGGTAAAGTAACTAAATAGTTTAAGGAGCAATTATCCTTCATAGAAGAATTCCAGCTAATAAGTGCAGAAGTAATGACATACTATCATCATTTTACAATCCTAATGAAATAATTGATCTAGGTAATAGTCATCAGTGGCTGTCAGATACATTAGGTAAGAAGCTTATAGGTGAATCAGGCTGACACTATGTGCATATACTGATGAAACTTAACATTATGAAAAGAGAAACAACCAGACATTATGTGCTTCTTGGTGGGATACAATAAGAAGTACAGAGTACTTTCAATGAGAGATTCTTGCCCAAAAAACCAGACTCTAAATATAACGCCCAGTTCACAGGAAATACAGGAAAGAGGAGAATATGTTAAACAATACCATCAAAATGTAATCAAAAGTAAAACAGGATCAATGCTCCATTTTCTTCAACAAATATATTGCAAGAAAAAAAGGGGGAGGAGAACTGTTATTGATTAAAAGAGATCTAAGAAACATATCAGCCGAATGCAATGTATAGATCTTGTTTGGATCCTGAACGAAACTATATATAAAATGACTTTTATGAGTCAATTAGGGCAATTTGGACACTGACTGGATATTATATGATATTAAGATAGCATTATTAATTTTGCTGGATGTAATAATGAAATTATGGTTATGTTAAAAAAAGTAGTTCTTGGGGCTGGCCCCGTGGCCGAGTGGTTAAGTTTGCGCGCTCTGCTGCAGGCGGCCCAGTGTTTCGTCGGTTCGAATCCTGGGCGCGGACATGGCACTGCTCGTCAGACCACGCTGAGGCGGCATCCCACATGCCACAGCTAGAGGAACCCACAACGAAGAATACACAACTATGTACCGGGGGGCTTTGGGGAGAAAAAGGAAAAAATAAAATCTTTAAAAAAAAAAAAAAAAGTAGTTCTTATGTCTTAGAGATACATACTGGTGTACTTACCAATGAAACAGTATAATGTCTGGCATCTGCATTTAAATAATTCTGTGGGAGTCTGGGAGAAGTGGTGGGGTATAGATGAAACAAAATTGACCATATTTTATAATAGTGGAAGCAAGATGATAAATACATGGAGATTCATTTCACTTTACTCTATTTTTGACTGTATTTGAAAATTTCCATTTCAATTTTCTTTCGAAAATCTCAAAAAAAGTTTAGATTTGGTTGAAGATAGGATTAAGGAACTAGAAAATAGATTAGAAGAAATTATCCAGAATGAAACACAGCAACAAAGAGAGGAATATGAAAGACAAAATAAGTCATATGGAGAGCAAAGTAAGAAATCTAACTAATTGGAGTTCTGGAAGGAGAAAGAGAGAATGAAGCAAACATAATGGTTGAATGTTTTCCAGAACTAGTGAAAGGTATAACTCCACAGATTCAAGAGGCCCAACAATTTTCAAGCAGAATAGATGAAAAGAAGTCTACACATAGACATATCAGTGAAACTGAGTCACTACAGAAAAACAGCAGATCTTAAAAGCATCCAGAGTATGGGTCACATGGTGAATGCATTTGTCAAAACTCATTGACCTGCAACATACAAGGCCTGTGCATTTCACTGCACGTAAATTTTACCACAATAAAATTAAATTAAATTAAAAGCAGCCAGAGAAACAGATTACCTTCAAATGAACAGCAGTTAGACTGAGGAGTGACTGCTCAGTGGCAGCAATGGAAGCCAGAAGACAGTAAATGATATCTTCAGTGTGATGAAATAAAATAACTTCCAATGGGAATTTTATGGCCATTGAAAATATCTTTCAATAATGAGGGCAAAAAATATAAGATTATATTTTATCCACTGTACTGCCTTTGCTCCTTTGTCAAAGATCAGCTGACTACATTTGTGTGTGAGTCTATTTCTGGGCTTTCAGTTCTGTCCCATTGATCTTTTTGTCTATTCTTTCACCAATACCACCACTTTTGATTACTGTAGCTTTATAGGAAGTCTTTAAGTTGAGTAGTGTCAATCCTTCAACTTTGTTCTCCTCTACTATTGTGTTGGCTATTCTGGATCCTTTGCCTATCCATATAAACTTTAGAATCACTTTGTCAATATCCACAAAAATCACTTGCTGGGATTTTGATTGAGATTGTGTTGAATCTATAGATAAAGTTGGGAAGAACTGACATCTTGATAATATCGAGTCTTCTTATCCATGAACATGGAAGATCTCTCCATTTATTTATTTTTCATTGATTTCTTTCATCAGAGTTTTGTAGTTCTCCTCACAAACATATTAGACACATTTTGCTAGATTTATGCCTAAGTATTTCATTTTGGGGGATGCTAATAGTAAACAAGACAGTAAACATTGTTCTGTTAAGAAGACAGAAACAATTCTGGGTATTTCAAGTAAAGGAAGTTTGGTACAGATAATCATTTACAAAAGTATCACAAAGGATGGAGTGGCAAGAAATGGAAGAAAAGATTACTCAAAGATTAGTAAATGCAGGAAGTTACTAACTCTAGGGCCAGTGGAGTAAAAGGGAAAGTGGTGTTACTGAGAGTCCACCATCTCTGGGCCACTGCTGTTATTGCTGCTGCTGCTGAAACCGAGCTGCCTGAACAGGAACTCAGGATCCCACCACTACCCCTGTCCCCACTGCAGCTCCCTCCACCGTTGTCAAAACCTAACAGGAGACCAGATGGTTAGGAAGTCTGAGAAATGTAATGAAAGGATTCCTACTTTTGATTACCGTAGCTTTATAGGAAGTCTTTAAGTTGAGTAGTGTCAATCCTTCAATTTTGTTCTCCTCTACTATTGTGTTGGCTATTCTGGATCCTTTGCCTATCCATATAAACTTTAGAATCACTTTGTCAATATCCACAAAAATCACTTGCTGGGATTTTGATTGAGATTGTGTTGAATCTATAGATAAAGTTGGGAAGAACTGACATCTTGATAATATCGAGTCTTCTTATCCATGAACATGGAAGATCTCTCCATTTATTTATTTTTCATTGATTTCTTTCATCAGAGTTTTGTAGTTCTCCTCACAAACATATTAGACACATTTTGCTAGATTTATGCCTAAGTATTTCATTTTGGGGGATGCTAATAGTAAACAAGACAGTAAACATTGTTCTGTTAAGAAGACAGAAACAATTCTGGGTATTTCAAGTAAAGGAAGTTTGGTACAGATAATCATTTACAAAAGTATCACAAAGGATGGAGTGGCAAGAAATGGAAGAAAAGATTACTCAAAGATTAGTAAATGCAGGAAGTTACTAACTCTAGGGCCAGTGGAGTAAAAGGGAAAGTGGTGTTACTGAGAGTCCACCATCTCTGGGCCACTGCTGTTATTGCTGCTGCTGCTGAAACCGAGCTGCCTGAACAGGAACTCAGGATCCCACCACTACCCCTGTCCCCACTGCAGCTCCCTCCACCGTTGTCAAAACCTAACAGGAGACCAGATGGTTAGGAAGTCTGAGAAATGTAATGAAAGGATTCCTACTTTTGATTACCGTAGCTTTATAGGAAGTCTTTAAGTTGAGTAGTGTCAATCCTTCAATTTTGTTCTCCTCTACTATTGTGTTGGCTATTCTGGATCCTTTGCCTATCCATATAAACTTTAGAATCACTTTGTCAATATCCACAAAAATCACTTGCTGGGATTTTGATTGAGATTGTGTTGAATCTATAGATAAAGTTGGGAAGAACTGACATCTTGATAATATCGAGTCTTCTTATCCATGAACATGGAAGATCTCTCCATTTATTTATTTTTCATTGATTTCTTTCATCAGAGTTTTGTAGTTCTCCTCACAAACATATTAGACACATTTTGCTAGATTTATGCCTAAGTATTTCATTTTGGGGGATGCTAATAGTAAACAAGACAGTAAACATTGTTCTGTTAAGAAGACAGAAACAATTCTGGGTATTTCAAGTAAAGGAAGTTTGGTACAGATAATCATTTACAAAAGTATCACAAAGGATGGAGTGGCAAGAAATGGAAGAAAAGATTACTCAAAGATTAGTAAATGCAGGAAGTTACTAACTCTAGGGCCAGTGGAGTAAAAGGGGAAGTGGTGTTACTGAGAGTCCACCATCTCTGGGCCACTGCTGTTATTGCTGCTGCTGCTGCTGAAACCGAGCTGCCTGAACAGGAACTCAGGATCCCACCACTACCCCTGTCCCCACTGCAGCTCCCTCCACCATTGTCAAAACCTAACAGGAGACCAGATGGTTAGGAAGTCTGAGAAATGTAATGAAAGGATTCCTACTTGACATTTGAGAACATGTTCCAAAAGGGTAAGTGTGAAGCTGAGAGACCAAAGCCTCTGTGAGGAATCATGTTGCGCACTGACAAAAGACTTGGTAAAATGATGTCTGTAATAATTGGAAATCACACTGTATGCTATTGAGTTCTATAGGAAGGGGTTGGAAAGGATCAAATGGGCAGCATGCACTGGCAAATTGTGGCTGCATCACAAAAAGGAGATAGGTTCAAGGGAGAATTGGCTTCTTTTTTGCAAGCAAATATAAAATAGAATCACACGTCCAGAAACAGAAGGCCTGGAAGTGTTAGAAAACGCTATTGTGGGGCCGGCCCAGTGGCACAGTGGTTAAGTTTGCATGTTCTGCTCCAGTGGCCCGGGGTTCGCCAGTATGGATCCCGGGTGCAGACCTACACACCACTTGTCAAGGCATGCTGTGTCAGGCGTCTCACATATAAAGTAGAGGAAGATGGGCACAGATGTTAGCTCAGGGCCAGTTTTCTTCAGCAAAAAGAGGAGGATTGGTGGCAGATGTTAGCTCACGGCTAATCTTCCTCAACAAAAAACACAAAAACTCTATTGCTTCAAGACTCAAAATAGTGGGAAATAAAATTGAGAAGGCCTTGACCAAAAAGGTTCACTAATATTCAGCCATGTGGCAAAAAACAGGCTAAGAATGTCTTCTCTTAAATTGAGACAGCAGCATGAGAATGGGGAAACAGAGAAATAGAAGAGACTCAAGAACTATTATTAGGAAAGAACTCTGAATATGGTTAGTAGCAGTAAAATAGAACTGACTCAAAGTATATAGGCCAGAAGCTAGGTTTGCTTTGTTGTGTGTGTCTGTGTGCACGTGCGTGCGTGCATGCATGTTTTTACAATCTTTTGTAGGTATAATTGACTCAGAACAAACTGCACATATCTAACGTTTGCCATTTGAATTTTAACATGTGTATATGCCTATTTAACCATCACCACAATCAAGGTTATAAACACATCCATCACTCCCAAAAATCTCCTCTAAGTTTGTGAAGCATTGTATTGCAAAGAAGCCACAAACTGTATTCGACAACTGAAATGTAAAACCACCATAAGGCTTCCAAATTTCTACATATAGGAAGTGGGATCCGAAACTTGTACAGCACCAAGGAAGGAATATTCTCCAAAGCCCGCTTGAGATGTGATCATGGAGGACAGGAAATCAGTAAGCCCCCACCCATGCCTAAGGTGGATCCATGGGCCATGGAGAAAATAGACAACAATGTTTATTAAAATAACAGAACCAGAGTCTAATCAGAGAAATCCTCTACGGCACAGAAGGAAACTTCACTATGTCTGTCCTGCAGGATGCCAGTATCACTAACAGCCATTGACTGCAGTAGGTCTGCCATTCTTTCCGTCTCTGAGTTTGAGTGGTCACTGCAGCAATTCTGCACTGCTCCACCATGTATTGGATGTGAGGGGAGTGGGAGGCAGAGAGGAGCCACATCTGGACCTGAGGATGAGGACTTCCAATCACTCTGAGATTTTGCTTTG